CACCCCTGCCCTGCCTCCTCCCCAAGCACACCGTCGCTGCTTCACTTCTCTCGCCTCCCAGGCTTGCGGCGCCTAAGCTTGATTAAGCGCCGCAAGCCTGGGAGGCAGGAGAAATGAAGCAGCCACAGCTTGCTCGGGGAGGAGGCGGGGCAGGGGTGAGCTGGGGCGGGGAGTTCCCCTGCGTGCCGCCTTCCGCCCCCCTTGCTGCAGGCGGCCCTCCCCGCGCTCCACTGCCCCAGCTCCCTCCGCCTAAATGGGGGAAGATCCGGCTGCCGCGGTCGCTGCCAAAGAAAATGGCGCCCCCCAAATCCTAGTGCCCTAGGCGACCGCCTAGGTCGCCTGAATGGTTGCACCAGCCCTGGCCCAGTGAGTCTAAAACACAGGGAAAGTGTGTTAGGGAACATTCTCCTGGGCAACTAGGGGAAAGTGTCTCTCTTCCCCCAAGCCTGTTGGCCTTGATTGGAAAATGACCCAGCTGTTTGTAGAAGAAAGGAGAGTCACATTAACCCAGCACACACTGAGGCTCTGTGTATTGCCTCAGCGACGCCCAATCCACAGAGAGCCACTCTGCATCATTCCAGTGTTCAACCGCTCCAAACGTGGAGAGAACACAGAAAAACGTTACTCTCGCCACCCAATTTTATGCACATTGTTTTAGGTTTTTTAAATAAAAAAGAGCATTCAATAAGTAATAAGTGATGTTAAAAGTTTTGCATACTGTAAATGTTTGTGAGGTAATTTAACCACAAGAGGGCAGTTGGACTCAACACTTTACGGTATATAGGCTCTCACTGCAAAGGTAGAGATGGTCAGAAAATGGGAGGGAGGGGGTGTAAAATGTTTCTTGCCAAACCCAAAAAGTTTTGTTTTCAGCTGAAAACCTTTTGATTTTTTTTCAACGAAAAGCTGAAAGTTGCCATGGAGAGCAGACACGTTTGTGAAAATTGTCACAAATCAAAACCCAATTTTCTGTCAAACTAGTTTGACAGAAAATGTTCAACCTACCCAAAAGGTTTAAAAAAAACAACAGTGAAATGTGACTGTGACGCAAGCAAGCGGGACACCAGGCAAATACAATCTGTGGACAACGCGAGAGAGGTTACCTCTTCGGCTCCTGTAACGGAGTATGCATGGCCTTTGACCAGCTTCTGAGAAGTGACTGCCTCGGTCTCAGCTGCGCTTGTGATCTGGAAGCACAAAGCAATTCAGTGGTGCTTATTAGCTGCCTGCAAGTCTGAGGATACAACAAACTACAGCTTTTATAAAGCTCCTGTGACAGTGTACCCCATAAGGCTTTATGGGGAGGGGGTGCTTATAAATGTATGTATGACATAACTGGGATATGTTTTGTGCTGTCTGTGCCAGGTAACATATCTCCGTAAAGGTTATGGTCTACTATATCTATTCATCCTATTTGTACATATATATATCATTTTCTACTTGAGGTTAAGAATATGGGCTGTATGCTTGCTTGGTTTCTAAGTAAGCTTTGGGAGGCATTTGGTCGGCTTCTTTAGGAAGGAATTCGCCAGGTTAAGTACCTGATCAGGAAACACTTGGAGAACAATGCATCTTGGAATGCTCCAATCCACATAAGAAGTCTGGACTTTGCATAGGAGGGGGGTCCCCACCCACAAGAGTCTATTTAAACCCGTGGGAGACCCTTCCATTTTGTCTTCAGCTGGCTAAAGAAGGAGCCTCTCCACCCCCCCCCAGGATACTTGAAGGAGACTGAAACAAAGGACAGTAACTACAGGGGGTGAGAGTGATTGCTGGACCCAGGCTAAAAGGAGATTAGCCTGTAAAAGGGAGCACTCTGGAACTGGTGAGGAAATTATCTGTATTCAGTTTGATTAGACATAGATTTGCGCATTTTATTTTATTTTGTTTGGTGACTTACTTTGTTCTGTCTGTTACTACTTTGAACCACTTAAATCCTACTGTCTGTATTTAATAAAATCACTTTTTATTTAGTAATTTACTCAGAGTATGTATTAATACCTGGGGGAGCAAACAACTGTGCATATCTCTCTTTCAGTGTTATAGAGGGTGAACAATTTATGAGTTTGCCCTGCATACGCTTTATGCAGGGTAAAACGGGTTTATCTGGGTTTAGACCCCATTGGGAGTTGAGCATCTGAGTGCTAAGGACAAGCACACTTCTGTGAGCTGGTTTCAGGTAAACCTGCAGCTTTGGGACAAGTGATTCAGACCCTGGATCTGTGTTAGAGCCAGACAAGAGTGGCTGGCTCAGCAAGACAGGGTGCTGGAGTCCTGAGCTGGCAGGGAAAACAGGAACAGGGGTAGTCTTTGCACATCGGGTGGTAGCTCCCAAGGGGGTTTCTGTGATCCAACCCGTCACAGCTCCCTTAGAGCAAGAGTTTAGCTGCTGCACAGGGGTACTGGGAGGATCAATTGGGTGTTTGAACAGGAGCTTTGAAACTAGCCAGCTTTCATGTGTCCCAGGGTGCTCTAGTAGTGGCTGCAATCTAAACTTAGCTCTGTGCCATACAGCTGGTATCTAATTCTCCTTGAGCTCTGGAAGAGTTTCTGCTTTTGTAGCAGGATAGGAGTTTACTTCCTGATGTGCCCAGGAAGTTCCCAGTGGCCACAGGTGTGCATAGGACACACATAAAGACCTAAGTGGCCACTGACTTGCTACACTGCAGTATCACAGTTCATGGTAAGCAGCATGAATATCACGGATACACATTTTAGTGCAATGCTGTATGAGTAGCTCAGGTTTTTAGGAGTAGCATTTGGACCCCTGCTCATTGAGATGGCAGAGCTAGAAGAACCAAGGAGACAAGAGCTTGCCCATTGTGCATCTTGCTGCACACTGAACATTCATCCTCACTCAACAGCTGTCTAAATCTGCATAAGAGCTGTATGGTCTTAAAAGGAGCTGGCTGCAAATCCGCCATTTTTTATTTTTAAGGTATGTTATCTAGTGTGCACCAAAGAGCCATGAAATCAGGACTCCTGGGTTCTGATCCATGCTCTGCCACTAATTTGCTGGTAATCTTGGGCATATTGTTTAGCATCAGTTTTCCCCTCTGTAAAATGCAGATAAAACTTCCCTACCTTGCAGGGGTGTTCTGAGGCTGAACTAATTAAAATATTTATAAAACCATTTTGTGCTTCTCTAACACCTTTCAACAAAGGGACCCAGTGTATTTATTCTCTTTTCCCAGCTAGGAGATTTGAAAACCTGGATCATTCTGGGGTAGAAACCCAGATGTCAGATTCTTATCAAACTGCACGCTAGAAAAACAGGACCTAGAAAATGCAGGGAAATCTTGAGTAGGGAAGTGCACTGTGCTTAGCAAACTATATTT